GATTTCGCCCCTCCCCCACTTATCCACATCGACTTTTCTTAACTTTTCCGATTTAATCGATATCAGGGTCGACTATTATGTTTTCGAGGTAGCTTAATATGAAAAATACGGTCGAATTTGAGATTGCGCCCCCCCCTCACTCACCCGCATCGACTTTTTGTAACTTTTCCGATTTAATCGATATCAGGGTCGACTATTATGTTTTCGGTAGCTTATTATGAAAATACGGTCGAATTTGAGATTGCGCCCCCCCCCCACTCACCCGCATCGACTTTTTGTAACTTTTCCGATTTAATCGATATCAGGGTCGACTATTATGTTTTCGGGTAGCTTAATATGAAAATACGGTCGAATTTGAGATTGCGCTCCCCCCCCACCACTCACCCGCATCGACTTTTTGTAACTTTTCCGATTTAATCGATATCAGGGTCGACTATTATGTTTTCGGGGTCGCTTATTATGAAAATAAGGTCGAATTTGAGATTGCGCCCCCCCTCCACTCACCCACATCGACTTTTTGTAACTTTTCCGATTTAATCGATATCAGGGTCGACTATTATGTTTTCGGGTAGCTTATTATGAAAATACGGTAGAATTTGAGATTGCGCCCCCCCCACCACTCACCCGCATCGACTTTTTGTAACTTTTCCGATTTAATCGATATCAGGGTCGACTATTATGTTTTCGTGGTAGCTTATTATGAAAATACGGTCGAATTTGAGATTGCGCGCCCCCCCCCACTCACCCGCATCGACTTTTTGTAACTTTTCCGATTTAATCGATATCAGGGTCGACTATTATGTTTTCGGGGTAGCTTATTATGAAAATAGGTCGAATTTGAGATTGCGCCCCCTCTACTCACCCGCATCGACTTTTTGTAACTTTTCCGATTTAATCGATATCAGGGTCGACTATTATGTTTTCGGGGTAGCTTATTATGAAAATACGGTCGAATTTGAGATTGCGCCCCCCCCTCACTCACCCGCATCGACTTTTTGTAACTTTTCCGATTTAATCGATATCAGGGTCGACTATTAGTTTTCGGTGCTTATTATGAAAATACGGTCGAATTTGAGATTGCGCCCCCCCCCCCACTCACCCGCATCGACTTTTTGTAACTTTTCCGATTTAATCGATATCAGGGTCGACTATTATGTTTTCGGGTAGCTTATTATGAAAATACGGTCGAATTTGAGATTGCGCCCCCCCCCTCACTCACCCGCATCGACTTTTTGTAACTTTTCCGATTTAATCGATATCAGGGTCGACTATTATGTTTTCGAGGTAGCTTATTATGAAAATACGGTCGAATTTGAGATTGCGCCCCCCCCCCACTCACCCGCATCGACTTTTTGTAACTTTTCCGATTTAATCGATATCAGGGTCGACTATTATGTTTTCGAGGTAGCTTATTATGAAAATACGGTCGAATTTGAGATTGCGCCCCCCCCCCCACTCACCCGCATCGACTTTTGTAACTTTTCCGATTTAATCGATATCAGGGTCGACTATTATGTTTTCGGGGTAGCTTATTATGAAAATACGGTCGAATTTGAGATTGCGCCCCCCCCCACTCACCCGCATCGACTTTTTGTAACTTTTCCGATTTAATCGATATCAGGGTCGACTATTATGTTTTCGAGGTAGCTTATTATGAAAATATGGTCGAATTTGAGATTGCGCCCCCCCCACTCACCCGCATCGACTTTTTGTAACTTTTCCGATTTAATCGATATCAGGGTCGACTATTATGTTTTCGAGGTAGCTTATTATGAAAATACGGTCGAATTTGAGATTGCGCCCCCCCCCCACTCACCCGCATCGACTTTCTGTAACTTTTCCGATTTAATCGATATCAGGGTCGACTATTATGTTTTCAGAGGTAGCTTATTATGAAAATACGGTCGAATTTGAGATTGCGCCCCCCCCACTCACCCGCATCGACTTTTTGTAACTTTTCCGATTTAATCGATATCAGGGTCGACTATTATGTTTTCAGAGGTAGCTTATTATGAAAATACGGTCGAATTTGTAGATTGCGACCCCCTCCCCCTCACCCGCATCGACTTTTTGTAACTTTTAGGATTTAATCCTTATCAGGATCGACTAATATGTTTTCGGGGGCGCTTTTTTTTTTATTTGAGATTACGCCCAACCCTACCCTGCCGCATTGACTTTTTGTAACTTTTGAGTTACCAGGTATTGAGCTATAATCGATACCAGGGTCGACTGTAATGTTCTCGGAGTATCTTTTTTTGGAAATACTGTTGAATATGAGATTACGCTGATAAATTGAAAAGAAATATAAAATATTCTACGCCAGTAATTTGTTAAATGATCTATTCGATTTCTTAGAAAATAACTCAAAATAAAATTATTATAATAAAATTATGCAGGGTACTGTGATTACTTTTTGTACTCGACAATTATCATTTTGATTAGTCGTTTAAAGTACTTAGACCGCGTGATTATTTGTGGAAAATATTGTGTTATTTGTAGTTTTTACTCACATTACTTTCTGCCCATCTCTAAACTCAAATCCGACAGTATTTTCATAGAAGGCGTCTTCCAAAACATAATAACCGACCCTGATATCGATTAAATCGGAAAAGTTACAAAACGTCAAAGCGGGTGAGTGGGGACGGGGGGCGCAATGGCAAATTCGACAGTATTTTCATAATAAGCGACCCCGAAAACATAATAGTAGACCCTGATATTGATAAATTGGAAAAGTTACGAAAAGTCGATGCGGGTAATTGGGGGGGGGGGGCGCAATCTCAAATTCGACCGTATTTTCATAATAAGCTACCCCGAAAACCTAATAGTCCATCCTGATATCGATTAAATCGGATAAGTTACAAAAAGTCGATGCGGGTAAGTGGGGGAGGGCGCAATCTCAAATTCGACCGCATTTTTATAATAAGCTACCCCGAAAACATAATAGTCGACCCTGATATCGACTAAATCGGAAAAGTTACAAAAAGTCGATGCGGGTGAGTGGAGGGGGGGCGCAATCTCAAATTCGACCCTATTTTCATAATAAGCGACCCCGAAAACATAATAGTCGACCCTGATATCGATTAAATTGGAAAAGTTACAAAAAGTCGATGCGGGTGAGTGGTGGGGGGGGCGCGCAATCTCAAATTCGACCGTATTTTCATAATAAGCGACCCCGAAAACATAATAGTCGACCCTGATATTGATTAAATTGGAAAAGTTACAAAAAGTCGATGCGGGTGAGTGGTGGGGGGGGGCGCAATCTCAAATTCGACCGTATTTTCATAATAAGCGCCCCGAAAACATAATAGTCGACCCTGATATTGATAAATTGGAAAAGTTACAAAAATTCGATGCGGGTGAGTGAGGGGGGGAGGCGCAATCTCAAATTCGACCGTATTTTTATAATAAGCTACCACGAAAACATAATAGTCGACCCTGATATCGACTAAATCGGAAAAGTTACAAAAAGTCGATGCGGGTGAGTGGAGGGGGGGCGCAATCTCAAATTCGACCCTATTTTCATAATAAGCGACCCCGAAAACATAATAGTCGACCCTGATCTTGATTAAATTGGAAAAGTTACAAAAAGTCGATGCGGGTGAGTGGTGGGGGGGGGGTCAAGCAGTCTGGAGAGGTCCCAGGAGTATAATATTCACACACCACCTATTCATCGACTTTCGAATGGCCTAAGATAGTACAGAAAAGAATGAGCTTTTCCAGCAGCTTCTAGAAACGGGAATACCGGCGAAGACATAAATATTGTTTACTGATGACTTAAATATTGTAGAAAGAACACCTACAGACTTGGAAAATACTTTTATCAGTCTTCAGATAGCAGCGGCTAGAGTGAATCAGAATGTTAATGAAGCAAAAACCTTGTGCAGGACCACAACTGAATGTACACAGACCCTCACACTTTGTGGCTGGAGGCTAATCATTTGAAAAGGTGAAAAAGTTTCCCTATCTCAGTTCACAGGTAAATGCGGATAATGAGATACAAACAGAGATCTATCGCAGACTAATGTCCACAAATAAATGCTATCTCAGGCTGCTGGAGCATTTCAGGAGCAGAGCTATTTACGAACTACATCGTACAATAAAACCAGTCTCCACTTATGCCTCCAAATGTTAGACATTATCTAGGAGTCCCTTCTCCTAAGGTTTAGGAGAGGAGAATTTACAGTTTACTACAAGAGCCCAATTACTGTAAAGTAGAACGTCTTCGATGGGCAGGACATAAAATTAGAATGACGTCGGATAAGATTCCTAGGATGGTTCTAGATGAAAATATTTATGGGACAAGAAGAGTGGGAAGACCTCAGCTCTGATGGATCGATGGGGGTGGCAGTGGATAGAGATCCATCTTGGAAATCTGCAATTGGAGAGCAGCAGCAACCAATTGAGAAGGTTCGTGGATCAAGCTGTAAGAGACCTTGACTTTGCAAGAGTTGTGACACCACAAATGACGATAATGACGATGATGAGGGAGTGGCAAAATATTTAAGTACTTCGAGGCTCATTACTCGTCCTTGTATTCTCTTCAATTTGGATTGGTAAGAGGGTTCTTCTTCCAATTTCTCTAAGCTTTTAATCAATCTCCTAAAACAAAGGTTCTTATATTAGTACGAGGGTGGATTTCACCCACAAATGTGTAGCTTAACTAATTTTGTCGTGGTTCTTTAGGTAATATAATATAACATAATTGCATTAACTTGACCAATCGGATTGACTGAGGTGTAGATGTAACGTTTTTTGTAAGTAAATTTTTTATACCATCAGTTATTTAGAAATATATTTTATTAGGCATTGTCTGATTTTAATTTTAATAAGAAATTAAATGTATATATAATGTATATATATATATATATATATATATATATATATATATATATATATATATATATATATATATATATATATATATACATACTGTTATTCCTTATAACCTTTATTCCACAATAAAGTTGATTTTTCTATTCTATTTTCTATTTTTTTTCCAGCTTGAAAAGGATGATTTGTTAACAGAAATAGAAATTCTGAAGGAGAAGCTTGAAAAAAATCAAATAATCTTGCAAAAATCTCTAGAAGATAAGGAAACAGCTAACAAAGAATTTGAAAGAATGCTTGAAAAATATGACAGGTTTGAACTAACTGTTTATAAAATATTTCGTTTAATGTTTTCTTAAATGTAAATATGTCTTTTTTTGTGTTGAAATTGAAGTAAATTTAATTCAATCTTCATTTTAGTTTCTGAAACAGTGTAATATTATTAATCTAAAAATAGTACCTATTAGAGGTGATAGGTTCAACTATTGGACAATTTTTGAAAAAGCGGCACATACTGCTGATTTATTTATTTCTAATGTCTATATTTTCTTACTCAGTATAGTTATAGTATTTTATATGTTGCATGGAATTGGCAGTAAAACAATGTTTGTTTATTTAATAACTTCCCTGAAATTTAAACAGAGACATTTTTATGAGAGGAGCAAGGGAGAGAGTGTTCTAGTTCCAGCCCTTATATTAAATCAAATACTTCATTGTCATAGGTGGTAAAGAATTAGGTCTTAAAATTATTAAAGATAAAACCAGTGGTAAGTAGTAGAAATGACAATACTTTTGTTAATATACATATAGCACAGAAAACTTTATAACTCAGGCCCAGATTTATAAATATTTGCATTTATCTTTTTTCAAAAACATGAACTAATATCAATATGAAACAAGTCATTCTAAATCTTTTTGCAAGTTTTTATGTTGCATATTTGGCCAAAATTTTATTTTTATGCAAATATTATTTGTATTTCGATTGATTTTATTTTTGGTACAGTAAATTGTTTAATGAATAAAATTAAACATTAATTTTTATGTAAATTAATATTTGACAAGATGATAATTATATTTCTAGTCTTTACCTACCATGCTTTAAATGATTTTTTTTTTTTTTTTTTTTTTTTCTTTATGACATTTACAACTGTATTACATAAATACATCAAGTAAATTTGGACATAATTGATATAATGACATGAATACACTTGCTGAGTAACTACCCAATGGTAGCACTCTAATGATATGACTATATTAGGAGATCACGGGGCCATCTTCTTTTCAGACGCCTCGGAGGGTTATCAGGAATTGAAGAGGAAGCAAGGTTAGAAACGAGAGGGTTGGGATGATTCTGAAGTTTATTATGGAAGGATAGGTATCTGGATTGGGCCAGATCTGAAACATAAGGAACATTAAGATCTTTATGGATAATTTTATTAGTGACAAAGTAAGGAGCATTGAGGATTTTACGAAGGATTTTGGATTGTAAGGATTGGATGCGAGAGGAATTCGATGGTTTAGTGGAGCCCCATAGCTCAACTCCGTAAGTCCAAATAGGTCTTATTATAGTCAAGTATATAAGTCTTTTGTAATTAATGGGAAGTTTAGAGCGTTTGTCTAGTAAGTGCTGAAGTAATCGGAAACGTCGAGCGGTTTCTTGTCGTTTCAGTCTAGTATGAGGATTCCAAGTTAGTCGTTTGTCCAGGTGGAGACCTAGGTATCGGATTTGCTCAACAGGGATAAGTGGAGTATTGTTAAAGGAAACTGTAGGACAGGAAGTCGTTGGTTTACGACGAAGGGTAAAGGTAATTTGGTGGGATTTATTGGAGTTTATTTTAATTCTCCAGTTTTTACACCATTCTTCCAGATTTATGATGTGTGATTGAAGCATTTGGGATGCAATTGCTGGGTCATTGTTTACTGATAGGATACATGTGTCATCGGCATATGTGGTGATGACAGTGTTGGGACAGGTAGGGATGTCAGCTGTATAAACTGTATAGAGGATAGGACCTAGGATACTACCTTGAGGAACACCAGCAGACTGGGAAAAAAGGGATGAATAGGCGTTATTGTGATTTACTTTAAAGTATCTATCAGTAAGGTAGGAACGGATAATGAGGAAGTATGTAGGTGGTAGGAATTTTCGGAGTTTGTACAGCAGTCCCGGGTGCCAAACTCTATCAAACGCCTGTTCAACGTCGAGAAAGACTCCCGTACAGTACATTCCGCGCTCCAATGCAGAGGAGACTACGTCTACCACACGATGACATTGCTGTATAGTGGAATGGGAAGTTCGGAAACCAAATTGGTGATCTGGGATTATGTGTTTAGAATTTAGGATAGGGTACAGGCGTTTTAAGATGAGTTTTTCTAGGATTTTGCCCATGATGGGTAAAAGAGAGATAGGACGGTAAGAGGATGGGTATTCTGGTGGTTTTTTGGGTTTGTGGATCATTTTAACAATAGATCGTTTCCAAAGATCAGGAAAATATGTAGAACGGAGTACAGCATTATATATATAAGTAAGGAATAGGATGGCTTTTCGAGGAAGAAGTTTTAGGATCTGGGATGTAATTAGGTCATGTCCAGGAGCTTTACGGGAAGGTAATTTTTGAATGATGTTGGATATTTCTATGGGATGAAATGCTTTGGGTGGCAGAGACATTTGGAGAGGAATATCCAGTTCTGCTTCAATACAATTGATGTGAGTTGAATTAAGGATATCGGGATGTGGATTAAAAGTTTGGAAAAGATGTTGTCCAAATAGTTGGGCTTTTTCTTCGTCGGATTTGGACCAGGTTTGGGAATCAGTAAGTAGTGGGTGATTAAAGTCTTGAAACTTAAGAAGTTTTTTGGTGGTCATCCATAATGATTTGTCAGTGGTTGTAAGTTTTTCAGTAAAATTTAGTAAACTTTGAATTTTGTATTTTCTAATTTCTGATTTCAGTTTGTTAGTCAGTTGTGTGTAATGCGATTTATCTGTTGGGTATCTTGTCCTATGCCACTTCGATCTTGCTCTGCGTTTTTCCTGTAATAAGATGCGAATATGCTGTGGCAAGTTAGTATTTTGTGGGAAGTTAATCTTATTGATAAAGGTGTTATTATTTATACTGTCTGTTATTGATGATGTCAGTTTTTCTATGGCACCGTTAATGTCTTCTTTTGTTTTTAGCGGGATTTTGAGGTCTAGTTTGTTTTCCAAATCATCACGAAATTTGTCCCAGTTTACTCGTCCAGTGATCAGTTTAGGAAGTGATGGTTTAGGAGCAAAGTCAGAATGTAGTGAAAGCAGAACTGGACTATGGTCTGAAGAAAGGTCATCCAGGGATTTGATTATAGTTTGGGAGGAGGAAATCTGGGAGGTGATAAATATGTCCAGGATATCGGGACGTTTTTTGAGGGATGTTGGAAAATAAGTAGGATTCATGGGCGAGAGGATGGAATAATTGTTGGAAGAAGAAACTTGTGAAAGGGTATTACCACGGGAGTTGGATGATCGACAACCCCATCGTTGGTGTTTAGCATTGTAGTCTCCTCCAGCAATAAAGCGCGATCCGAGGGATTGTAAAAAGGATTCAAGTAGGCTGTACGAGAGGGAATTACCAGGAGGACAGTATACAGCTGAAAGTGTTAGATGGAAAGGACGAGTTGAGAGGATTACAGAAGTTGACTGAATGGCATCTGTTGGAATAGAAGGAATAAGGGAATGGGGTAAAGATTTGTGGATAAGGATGCAAGAACCGGCGTGGGCAGTGTTGTCTGGGTGGTCAGATCTATAGGTGATGTAGTCACGTATGTAGAAATGTGTCCGTTGGGTGAAGTGAGTTTCTGTTAGGAGGGCAATGTCAATATAATTGTCATGGAGAAATATGTCTAGTTCGTCACGGTGGTTTAGCAGTCCATTAGCGTTCCATAAGAGAATAGCTAGGGACTTTGAGTTCATCGAGGGAAGCTAAGTGGGATTTCAGAAAGGAGTCTGGTTAGAAGGGTTATGAGTGGTTTGATAGTCTGTTGAAGATCTATCAGGAATGATGATAAGATAGTGTTGATGTCGAATGGTGTTTGGCTGGGAAGTGGGTTTGGATCAGGAGGTTGAGATGGGTAGGTTATGCGACTAGGAATGTTGGGTGGGGGATGGGCCCGGCTTTAAATGATAAAATCATGTTTGATTCCGATTAAAGTTGAATATTCCTAAATCATGAAAGTAGACTTTGAAGTTCTGAGAGCCATTTTATTTTAGATGGAAACTTAATGCAGAAGTACTTCTTTGAAAAAAATGAGTGGGTAACTAAAAGTATTTTCTACAGTTTGACTCACCAACAAATACAATTAGAATCATGTCAATATTTAAAGACTTAACTTCTTGTTGTTTAAAACTAAATGATTGGATCCCAAAACAAAAAAAAAAAATAAATAAAAAAAGATAATAAATACAATAAAAAATATATATCATGTTTTCGCATCAAAATTATCATTAAATTAAGAAAAATAAATAAATAATATTAAACTCCTCTGGTGGGCCTCAATTAGAAAATTTACTACTCGAAGTTAAAATAATATAAAGATCATTAATATGAAAAATTTAAACAGTGAAATCTGACATCATTCATTTAGTGTTTTGTTTTTTTTTAATTTGTTTACGAATCAACATTTTATCTTTAATTCCATCTTTCATTATTTAGTTGCATATTTTACTGCATATTATCATTCTTTCAATGGCATATTATACTGCGTATTATTGTACTTTTTAATACATATCATATGGCATATTTAAATGGGTTTTGTTGTATATAAATCCGAGCCTTTCGTATAACACTAAGAGAAGTTTAAGTGTATCATCAGTGTAATATCAGGGTTTACAATATCTAAAAAATAAGTTTGAATCTGTCAAGGATACGGCTGTTTATTTAATGGGAATATATTGACATGTTAATTGGGAAGCATTTTCTTTGAGAGACGACATAAACAATGTTCAACAGTGGTGATTGGTAATTTTGAGACAATCATCCTTATTCCACTGTATTATGATTTGTTTTTGCAACCTTCAACCCGGGTGCAGCATTGTCAAACTGTAGATTTTTTATCGGATTGTCATCTATTGTGGTCACTGCTTTAAAAATTATTAATACATTGACATTAAATGAATCCCACTCCACTGTGACGTTCTGAATATATGTTAAACAAAAAACAAAAAAAAAAAAAATCGCCAGAGCTTTTTTTCTTTCTTTCTACTCCCACCTATGGTATCTTTCACAATATGTTTTAGGATAATTAGTAAATAGTTTTAAAAATAATAATATATTAGAGTAT